CAGCCTGTGTGTGCCACATGCTAACAGACGCCGCAATTAGTAGCTGATTTGAATAGTGCCTCATTGAACACCGCGGCCCTGTAATCACATCATCATCTAGTTAGAATAATATTGAGAGTATAACTCAATAGTATCGAGTTACACGACATTTTGCCACCGCATAAACAATCTGAACCAAAGCAGATGGCTCTCTGCTGGCAAGGTTTCACTATAATTACGGACAGAACAGGGACATAAAAGACTAGAAGATCAAGAGGTGAAGCTTCCTCTATCTTTACTGTGCATCATAAACCAATTAAAGAAGTCTGAGCCTACAATTATGTTCACACATCCGTAATATTAACATCCTGGAAATTGCGCAAGAACGACTTTAAACGCGAACAAATAATAAAAATGGCTGTTTAGCAGGTATCTGTATCAAGTTCAGCTTTCAGGTGGTTTTAATACTTGATGCAGCAATATGGATCCATTCTGCTAAACAAGCGAGCTAGCCTTAAAAAAACACTCCATAATCTCACCCAAATGTGAACAATTCAACAAAAAACAAAGAAACAAAAAACTAAATGGCAATAGCCAAACCCCTTAAACATGTCATTAACTTTTTGTGAATGTTCTCTGCACAGAAAGTTTCCTGACAAAGTAGGAAACACACAGCTGTAATAAAAAAAACACCATAAAGACTGCGCCCTTTCTGATTTAATGTTTTGTAAAGGTGAGCCACCACTGACACATACATACTCCTCCCAATAGAGAAACATGTTTAAAATACCAATATGCTGAATATAACTGAATAGTAATCTTAGTTCCAGTGCTAATGCATTGATGACATTTGCTTAACTGACTGACTTTTATGATTGATAATCTGTTGTTATACATTTACCTGTTGAATAATGATAAGTAATAAGGGTAAAGGGGAATTTTCTTCTTTGGGGAACACTATAAAGTGTTCTTTTCTATTAGGACAAAAGTCATTAAGCACTGTGACTTGATAATAAGGAAGTGTGGGAAGTGTACTCTGGCAAGTGCTGCAATGTTATCCTCAGCGACATGGCAGGTAGCGCAGATAAGCCTCTGTGAGCCTGAGAAACTGAGATGTGCTGCCCAAGAGTCTTAAAAGCTCTGATCTGTTTAACTCGAGATGCCCCGGGGCAACAGGTCAACTTACTAATGAGATAATTCACCTTTGCTTTAAGCTCCAATTCAAAGACAACTACTTTACAACACAAAGGCAAATCGCTGCCACCCTTAAAGCCTCATGTATTTTTAATAGTGACGGGAGCGCCAGCTCACCCAGATTTAGTCCTCCTCAATTATTAATATGATCTTGTTAGGCGCTTTACATAACAAGCAGTATAAAAATGACGTTCTAATAAATTACACATACGCATTTCCAAGTTCTGCAACCAAAAGAATAGCAGCCAACGAATATCCCTGCTGTAGAGCAAGTGCTATTTTGTACAACTCTCGGGGTGCTCTCTGCTGCCTGGGATCCTGGTAATCCCTGTCAGCTGCCTGCTAAGAAACACTGGTCCTCGCAGGCAGCATCATGTGAGTGCATGTGAGCCAGAGAAAGAGTGTTGGTGTTGGTGGTGGGGGTTTAGTCTACAGACCCCTAGGCTATAATGAGGCTGAAGCACCCTCACAACTATATTATCCTTCCTCCGTGGTCCCAGGCGAGCCTAAAAGTAAGAATGTACTAGACATACTTATCTTCCCATGACCCTCTGCTGCAGGGGTAAATTTAAACCTCATATTTTGAAGTATAGACTTAATAGCTTGAAAAAAAATATGGCTGTTAAAGGAGTCAGTGATTGAACATTGGTGGTGGCTTACGACACCAGCTATCATCCACCTACGATGAAGGCTTCATCTCCACTCACACCTTGCATCAGGTGACCTCAACAGGTCACAAGATGTGGTGGGGTGAAGTCTCACAGTAGTTTCACCCTTCCCACCTTGGCTCATGTGACGACTCGCATGACCAAGTGGATCAGGGACCCTGAGGACCACTTCCACTGGGGATTAGATACCTGACTTCTTTCTTTCTTTTCTTTTTTTTTAAGAAATGAAGGAGCCTCTTGGGTAATAGAGATCTAGTCTGTTGCCTTATTTTTTTTTCAAACGTTCAAGATGACCTACACAGACATTTAAAAGCATATTTAAATACACAGTGCTGTATAGATGGGTATCCATGGCCCTGAGTCAAAACAAACACACCCAGCCCACCTTCTGACCACTGGATCACATGGTGGATGGACCAGCCCCTATTCACACATACACAGTAAACACACTACAAATGCATCCAGGAAAAAACAAATAAACACAAAAACACACAACACAGCGCAAATACAGTGATTAAAGTGGAAAGCTGACACAAGTGGTGCGTTTAAGTCTAAATGAGAAACGTAAAAAATATTTCAGAGAGTTAAAACAGACAGGAGCTCAGGAGCTACATTACCTTTTGACCAGGAGTACCGATTGACATTTCTATGTAGTAGCCTCTCCCAGAGTCTCCTTGCAAATTATTCACCATGTCCAGAAAGTTCACGGTACCGGTGGGATCAGAGGCCAGAGAGAGACCGCTTCCATCAGACTTTAACGCTACTCTCCGAAGAGACGTCAAATTCACATCCGATGAGACGTTGTACTTCCCTGGGTATATTTTCAGCGGTATGGAAAAGTAACAATAGGACACGCCGAAGTACAAACTCAAAGCAAATGCCCCAAACGAAACGAAAGTTGAGTATGCCATGTTAGTTTTTTGTTGTTTTGTTTTTTATCACGCCAGTAACAACAGAGAAAGTCTCAGAAAAAGACTCCTGTTCCGTGCTCAAACTTTTCTCCTCAAGTTTTCACACTGACCCGTACTGCGGTCGCCATCATGGAAACGATCCCGCTTCACCGTCAAAAAGACACCGTACATGGTGACATGCTTCCGCGGTGTGAGTGACACTGAACTGTCCGCTGTCGATCGATTTCCAGCGAGAAATTTCACCTCCATCTACTCTTACGACGGCGCCAAGCTAGCCCAAACAGAAGACTCAACTTCCGGCAGTTGCTTTCAAGTTAAAGCACACGTAACTGTTGTAACGGCCACACAAAACAGGCGTTTAACAAGCTAGGTAAAGTTAGATAAATTATGAATGGGATTTATGCAATCTTTGCATTTCTAAAAGCTACTTTCAGTCGCTCCCTTATTCGCAGTGTTTGATTTGCCAGATTTGTATTTTACACCAGATAAGACAACTCCAAAAGGTTTTCTGTCTCTCTTAATTCATAGCGACTCTAATAGGGGTTTATTATTAGACAGATGTAAAGACATTTGTGTCTCATTTAATTCAAAGCCAGTCGAATAGTGGTTTATTTTGAAGGCGCAGTTGCCGAGCTGTAGGTTTTTACCACATCCTTTTCTCCTGGTATCAGGCTGAGTGATGTGATTCCACGATGCATGACTTCCTTTCACAACTTGGACTGCTGTAAACCGGACTGATAGCACTGGGGGGCATGTGCCCATTTTTAAAAGACTGTAATTAGATTTCCCCACACTGCTCCACAGATTTTGCTTCACTTATGTGATCAGAACAAATTGTTTTTTCTGTCATCTACCCGAAACCTTTTGTTTTCTTTTTGTGGTAATCTATCTATCTATCTATCTATCTATCTATCTATCTATCTATCTATCTATCTATCTATCTATCTATCTATCTACTTTTAAAATGTTATTGTGGTGTCTTTTTCCCAATTTTAAACACCCTTTAAATCCTGTTATTGGGATTGCTGTGCAGCTCCACATTTATGTAGTGACTAGTATTAGTTAACACAGCCTCAGTTCTGATTCCTCCCCTAACCAACTTCCTCATCGTGGCCAGAGTATAAAACACCTGTGCCCTGTATCTTGGCTCCTGGTTTCAAGTTATGTAATTAAATGTGTCTTAACAAAGGTTAACTTTACATATTAGTTCAACGTAGTGTATGTGGGTTAGCTTCTTGTTATGTGTTTGTCCCTGTCACCTGGGGCCTGTACTACAACCTGGTTCACTTACCCTAATGTTACACCATTGTGGTTATCACCTGGATGAGAAACTGTAAGCTTTCCCAAGCATGAATACGAGCCATTCAGCCGTGTAATACAGCAGTGTAATACAGTATTTAAGCTTTCCTTTGGTAATCAACACTTTATGAATGTGTTTAACTGGAACAGTGCTCTAAGTATTAGCCCATTTAAACCCAACTATTTGCTAAAGCATAGTACTCGCCTTAGTCTGGTGAGTAAGACTAAGGGCTAAGAAGAATTACAGGTTTATGTTCTTTTAAATTGTGTTTTTTTTTCTCATGGCATGCAAGCTACATAGTTTCAGCTGCAACATCAGCTGTGTTAAACTGTTTAGTGGTGAGTAAGGAGGTGGCTTATAAGAATATTGCTTTCAAAGGAGGAGAAAAATGCAAGAAATAAAAATCTCCTTTCCTTACCACGCTCCATCAGGGACACACTAACTTTAGATTCTAACAACTGGACCCTTATGGTGTCTGCACACTGATATCTGAGGGATCTCCCAGGAGGTATAATACCGTTCTCTGAAAAACTGGCCTGTAGGTGGTTTCATGCATGTTTCTCATGACTCAAACATGACCTACATGAAGCAGCTGGATCTGCAGAATAAGTCATTATGGTAATGAAACAATAAAGTGTAACCCTCATAACACTGGGAATCAGGGCTAAAATAAATCCTTTGTGTTACAGACCTCTGAGAAGGTGTGAAGGGTCACAAGATGCTTATAATTTTCAGTAATCTTTGTGGTGAATCCTAATGCACGTTTGTATTAGACTCCACTGCTTTCCTGGATTTCAAAACAAACTCTCGTCTCTCTCCCCCCATGCAGATACTGCTATGTTATGAGTTGGTGCCTGAGTAACCCATGGAGTTACAAAGGTAACTTCCCCTTGGTAGGGTCTCCCAAGGTAAATGGGTTATAGGTAGGGAGCAACAGAGACCCAGTTACCTTACCAGGGATGGGATACTGGAGCACCACCCTGGAGCCAGGCCTAGTGGAGGTGATGTCGGTGAGTTCCTGGTGGTCGGACCTTCACCCATTAGACACAACTGTGGCTCACTGCCTGCTCGGGGAGCAATAGGCGCATTTAGGCCAAAGACTGAAGCCTTGTTTTTGAATATGGATTGAGTTTTTGATATGTTGGTCATTGCGAGTTTTTTTTTT